TTTATTCATCTGAGCTTTCGGGCTCTTGCGGGAGTCCATCGTCAGAGATAAATCGTCAACTCCACTATCTTTCGCCCACTCCTCCCCCTTCCCCCGCCCATCCTACTCTTCGCCCTCTCCCCTTTCCCTTATAACATTTGGTTGGCTCCTACCCCCTATAACTGTTGCCTGTTCTTCGTGGAGGCTTTTATATCTGACGATGAACTCCCGCAAGAGCGCAAAAGCTCAGATGAACAAAATTACGATTCTGGTGATCGCAACGACTTCTTCCTCTAACTCACCTTAAGCATACCGTGCTAAGCAGAAGTTTGTTACTTGAATCCGTTCAGCTTTGGCATTGAACTTATATACCTGGGTAGTTAGCAATTTGCAAGACCCATTTTAAACTCCGGCTCTTCATAGCCATAGCTTCGTGTTGGGGTTTCTTCCACTTGGCAAGAACCTCGGCTAAACGATTCAGTTCACTTGATTAGCCAGCTGGCAGCACCACTTAATATGCACATAAGTTTATGTGCCAATTCCGATGTGTTGCCTCTTATCTTCCGTTACAGCGATGATTAGCATAACGCTGTGGAGCAGTTAGTGTCCGTAGGCTGTGATGCATATAAGCACGGTACGAGCGTAGATCACAGCACTTACCTGCGATCGTCCACATGCTGCGACTACCTTGGCTCCAGAGCTCTCTTCCGCTCCTTCTTCTATTTCTCCTGTGTCTGCACTTGGGACAAGGAGGTCCCTCGAAGTACCAGGAAGGAGACGTCCGTCTGGAGGATGGTGACACGTTCGCCTCGGGTACTGTGGCAGTTTATCGTGGATTCGTCTGGGGTCGTGTTTGTGACGACCACTGGACCATCAAGGAGGCCAATGTCGTTTGTCGTCAACTTGGCTATGGTTATGCTGTGCGTGCAATGAAGAGGAATCACTTCCACTCAAGATCCAGTCGTAAGTTTGGCACTTTTATGTGAATCGAATGAAGCAGTCGAGGGCCGGAGAGAGTTTTATACACATAAAGAGAAGGCTGTCCTTCAGTGCGTATTTCGCTTTTGATACACTGATAGTGCTTCTTCCTTCAGTAATAAAATATTATCCTGTAGGCACAAAAAGCTAGTTTTGGTGCGGAGAGGTTGATTTTATACATTTATTTAAGTCAGCTGCAAAGCTCTGCGTTTACTTCCATGCGTACATATTAATAAAATCGAGTGGGGAGTTTAAAGACACCTCTTTCTAGTAGATAGGCTTCCAAAGCCAACATTGAGCGTTAAAAATGAAGGTTACCGGTTAAGATTGCATTTTTTGATAAGGTAATATCGAAAAAACTGTGTTCTTGCGGGATGAAATTTGGACTACTAGATATTTGTCAGCATGAGAACTTGAAACAAGCCTCGACATTCTTTTCAGTTAGGGGTATTCAGGTTTTTTTCCCCTTTAACATTAGTTGAATAGTTTTAGAGCCGTAAAAATTGTTAACAGCAAAAGGAAATAAGAGGTTTTAACGGTGGTTTAATGAGACTTCAGCATTCAAACCTATTTTATGCTGTCATTTTTCTACCGAGCTAATATATAAATGAACAAGTAAAGTGTGATTTTTAAGTTTCATGCTAGTAGAAGGCAAAAAATTATATTTGGAATATATGCCTGCTTAGAAAACTGAAGCTGTGAATTAATAATCATTCTCAAGACCCGTTTCTTTATATTTCAAACCATCGTACCTTGCATTTTAAATGACGGACTAATTTGGCTAATACGACCGTTCCCCCG